ATTACATAAATGGTCCATATCTTACTAGTGGGGTGTACACTGTATCACAAGTCCTAGGAAAGAGAAGAGGAATAGTGTCTTTCCTCTCAGAAAGCAAAGGCCAGATCAATGTTTCCTTCAAACCCCGCCGTAGCTGCTTTACTTGCTTGGAGGTTCTTTCAAGGACCTTCATAATTTAATTTGGAATGAAAACATGCATTACATTTTTAAACTTTAAAGGGTTAGTTCACCCAAAAATGAGTAGCTTTTTGTCTCATCTGAAAGTGTTAATTATCTTGCTGGCAATGCAGGCCTCACGGAGTCATCGGATTTTATCAAAAATATCTTCATTTGTGTTCCGAAGATGAACTTACGGGTGTGGAACAACATGAGGGTGAGTAATTAATGACAGAATTTTCATTTTTGGGTGAACTATCCCTTTAAGAGTATTCCAACCAATAATGCATACTCACTGCATGAATGAGCAGTTTGTCAAGCAGCCATCTTCTGTTCTCTGATGTCACACCAGGCAAATCCCAGGACACTGCAAGGTCTGAAATAGCCCTCTTTTCTTCCTCTGATAATTCACCTGTGCCTTTCAACTGGTCATAAAATTATAATAACTATACACACTGCCTAGTCAAAAAAAAAAAGTCACTGTTTGGATTTTAATAGGCAAATACTTAAAAGTCTATATTGTATTGACAATGCAAGAGGTGAGCACTCTGTAAAGTCTCCAGCACATCCAAAAGACTTTCACTGAGGTTAATGTCAGGACTCAGGTGCCAATTCATGTGTGAAAATGATTCCTAATGGTCCATTCCAACCATTCTTTCACAACTTGAGCCTAATCAATCTTGACACTGTCATCTTGGTATATGGCCATGATTCCTACATGGTTGTTTAAGAAATGAAAAGCTACACACTTCATAAATTAGTGTTAGAAGAACTGCTGGCAAACATAACATGATAGAAACATAATTATCACTGCAATTATGATCCAGTCATAGTATCTGAAGTTGCCTATTAAAACCTAAACAGTGACTTTTTTTTTTTGGCCGTGCAGTGAATTTGTTTTTGTTTAAGTCATTTTTTTATTCCCAGGTAATATATTTAATGAAAATTAATAAGAGTAAAGATTAACTAACCGTCTCTGTTACTTGACGGACATCAGTGTCCACACAGTCCAGTATATCTATGGTGGCTGTTTCAGGGGATCCACCAAAAAGCATGTGGATTATTGCTGGGCTTAAACCAGTTAAGCATGGACCACCATGCAGGAATGAGTGCCCGATCATACGGCCTGCCACCACAAAGAAGTCACTATCCAGAAAACTCTGTGATGTTGAGGGAATCAAGTGATCCTTTTCACCCTCAAAAGCACTTAAAAGAAATAAAGCCATGCAACATGTAACAATCCGGCATGCATTACAAAAGACAAATGCAGAAACCTTTTAAAATATCAACCCTAAGGCCAATGGCAAGTAGTTAACTGTTAATGCCAACAAATTGCTGTAAACTTCTTTTAAAGTTATCCTAAGAAAACAGGGAAAAAAAAGAACATGTATTGTATAGGTCACTAACCGAGTTGTAGTTCAAAACCATGCTGGAGTTTTGACATGATTGTTGCAAAAACATGACTAGTCACACCGTCTCCAGTTGCAGGATCACCTTGAAGGCAAAGGTACAATGGGACATTAACGCAGCAAAAATCATAACCGTATTACATTATGGCAGGGGTGTCCATATTCCTGCTTGTGGAGGGCCACTGTCCTGCAGAGTTTAGCTCCAACCCTGATTAAACACCTGATCCAGCTAATTAAGGCCTTCAGAATCACTAGAAACTTCAAGGCAAGTCTGTTGGAGCTGGTTAGAGTTTAACTCTGCAGGACAGTGGCCCTCCAGGAACAGGATTGGACACCCCTGCATTATAGGATTTACTGTACCTACCATGTAGTGTACATTTTAAAGGACAAACCCATTCTACATTTGCCATCTTGTAGAAAGTCAAGATTGCTCTCTCCCTGTCTTCAGGACTGTCTCTCATGTCCATCTGGAAAAGTAGCTCTTTTCCCCTTTCATGGGTATTCAATAGGTTTTCTCTGTACTTCTTTGAGGCCTCTGTTGCATCTGGCTCAAATTTC